AGAGGGCTAACGCTTAAAATTCTCTCAGCCCCAAGGAAGGGGCTTGATTCTCTCTTATATTTTGATTTAGGTGGGGGGTGGGAACCTAGCTGGAGCAGAGTTTACAGAAGCAGAACAAGCAAGTTAGATAAGGATGCTGGTAACTAGGAGGCAGGAGGTTCTCATGATTGTTGAATTTTAAGGAGGGTATACACAAGTGGTTCCCATGATTGCCAGTTACCACGGGAGGTATTTGATACTTGTCATATAACCAACCAAGGCGGGGGGCATTCACAATGGCAAGTGGGCTTGTCAAGCAGGCTATGGGTTACAAAGGTTGTATGTTTCTGTAGTTCTAAGCACAGCATGACCCAGCACAGTAGCAAGGCCCAGGTATGTGCTTAAGGGAGGAGTGGCAGGAGGGGTGAGGTGGAGGTCAAGATGGAGTCTATCTGGCTCTCAGCAAAATGGAATCTGTCTGGCTAACACAGGGTAGGTTAGCACAATACTTTTACCATTCCTCCTCTAGCTCTGCTTTTCCTGCATCCAAAATGATACTATGTGATCTTAAAAATGCATCCATTACTCTAAAATTTTAAAATTTATTAACTATGGTAAAGAATTTGTAAGTGCTGTTTTTCTACATTTTTGAAATATTTTAGAACATGTATTTTACAAAATAAGGAAAATAAAAGAAGAAATTGAACTGTTGATTCATCCATCCATTCTACATCTACTAAAGATATACTTGACATGCAATGTTCTAAGCATTTGGTGTGAAACCACATTTTTATTCTTAAAGGATTTATGATATAGACAGGGTGTGAGAAACATCAGTAGATTATATACATTGTTGTGAGTGCCATGACAAAGGTTGTATTCAGGGTTGAATGAGAAAATGCAAGATAGTCCCCCAGCTTATATTCAGGGAAAGTCTGAAGATCAGGAAAGGCTTTCTTGAAGTTATAACACCTGAGATGTATCTTACAGTATGCATAGAAATTATGCAAGTCAATAAGAAAGAAAAGCATTATTGGTAAGAGAAGGAGCATGTGCCAATTTCCAAATTCTATGTCAAATTGTATGACATCTCAGTGTAATTGCAGACATTCAATATTCTAAGGAACAAGGTTTTAATTGGAGAAAAAGGGCAATTCGGGTTGCTAAGGAGAGAAGGAGGGGCCAATTTCAAGCAAAGTTATTTAATTATAGCCAATAAAATACTTATTCCCAAGATCTTAAGACTAAAAATATCCTAAAAGTATTGAGAGCACTATAGTGAAGAGCACTATTGGCACCAAATTTGTGGTCTTTAATGAAAACGGTAAACATTTATTAAGTACTTAATATGTGTCAGACCTTATAATGAATGTTTAATATCTATTAAATAATTTAAAAGTCCAAACAGCCCTGTGTGGTAGACTTGAGCATACTCAGGTTGTGATAAGCGAAATTACTGAACAAATCTTAATTATATGCTAATTCTTTCTCCCCTTTTTTTCTTCCCATGGGGCCTGAGAACTAATACACAAGGCAGACCTTGTATATCAGAGAGTCTGACTTCATAACATCAAATTAAGGGTCAGTGACTTATATAACTTATATGCTCTTGGTATTTACTATAAGTTCTTAGGAATAATACTCAATATTTATTGAACAAATGAATGAGTCTAAACTTCAAATACAAAGAGTTGATGGCTACATATTTCAACAGTAATTTTTTTCTTTAAATGGTAGCTGTTGATACTGATATAATTATATTAGTTGTATTTAACAAATGGTAGCTGCTATTGTAACTGAAAGGAGGGCTGAGAAGCAAAACCAGAAAATGGATTCAAACCACCTCCAAATAAAAGAGGAAATACAAGGTTCTAAGTAAGGAAAAAGAGGAAGATTGACTAGGTTAACACTAGTGAGTGAGTGAATGATCTATATAAATACCAGAAATACAGGACCAGTGAAAGTGGCTAGTTTATACTCAAACTCAGAATACCTAAAAATGAACCCATACTCAATTCCCACAAACATTTAGCCTCTATTGTTCCTTATTTGAAGTTAACGGCACAAGCCAAAAACCTAGCTTATAGCCCCAAATCTTCTTTCCCTTCACTTCTTACTGTTCTTAAATTTATCACCTACTTATCTCTCAAATTCATTAACTTACATCCATCTCAGGGATCACTATTCTAGTCTAAGTAACATCATTTTTGCCTAGTTTACATCAATAGTCTCCTAACAATTATTTCTACATGTAGTCTAGCCCCACCTCACATCTGTTCTCACCTCTATAGCTACAGTGAAAAGTTTGAAACTCATGTATGATTACCCAAAACTTTGCTCCGAAGCTTTTATGGATGATGAGGTGGTCCCTACACACACCTTCATACCTATATCACACCTCTACCATTTTGGAGGTTGCAGCCATGTTAACTATCTTTAAATCCCTTGAATATACCAACCTACTTCCGCTTTGGAGACTTTGCTTATGGTATGGTCTCCGCCTGGAAAGCTCACACTCCCACTGTTCTCCTCTACATCAAACAGGCTTCTACTGATTCCTCAAGTGTCACTTGAAATGTCACTTCTCCCATAAAATAATCCCAGACTACCCCTCCCCTCATGAGACTAGAAAGGCACTTCTGTCATGTTCTCTAATTTCTCTCTTTAATTTTCTCTTATAGCAACTTAAAAAGTAATTTAATCCAGAAAAAAAAGTTATTTAAAGTACATGTCGTTAAAAATATTATTTAAAATTACCAAAATTAAAATATTATTTTAAGGGACCATATCCTTTGTGATATTTTTGTCATTCTTAGCTTTCCCATCTCTCCCTGTATGTCTGGTAGGTGGTGCTCAGTAAATACTTGCAGAGTATTTACTGAACCCCGAATCCTACTTTACAGAGTAGTGCATTAATTTCACGTCAGGTCATACAATAAGTCTCCCAAAATAGGATAGGACCCTTTCAAATCCTACAGCCTGAAGACACCTAAAGAATGTACATCTAGGCTGGGCATGATGGCTTACTCCTGTAATCCCAGCACTTTGGTAGGCCGAGGTGGGTGGATCATAACGTCAGGAGACAGAGACCATCCTGATCAACATGATGAAACCCGGTTTTTCTTAAAATTACAAAAATTAGCCAGGTGCGGTGGCACACACCTGTAGTCCCAACTACTCAGGAGGATGGGGCAGAAGAATCATTTGAACTCAGGAAGCAGAAGTTGGAGTGAGCCAAGATCACACCATTGCACTCCAGCCTTGTGACAGAGTGAGATTCCATCTTAAAAAAAAAAAAAAGAAAAATGTACATCTGAGTCAGGAAGCACTCTAAGAGGGATTTAGTATTTTGGAACCCAGGACTGGCAATAAGACTGAAGACTACAACACATGTAGGGCAGAGGAGACCGTAGCTTCTATTGCAGACAAATGAAGAGGTCTATTTAAGAAAATCAACTCTGTAAAGGAAATTAATAGGACAAGGAGCATTTTAGTAATTCCTCTAAGAAGGCTCTAAAGATTGTGAAAAACAGACGGGACAGCAGTACACAAAGGCCGTTAAAGAACATGATGAAGACTTTCTAAGTTATTTCACTAGAAGTCTGATAGTGGGGCAAGTGTAAGGCAAAATTCTTAATTGAAGTCAACATAAGAAGTTGAATTCTGTCTGCAAATAGATAGAAAAGAATTACAAAATGCCACATGTGGTTACAAGTAATGCAGAACCAAGGCTCCCCAGGGACATGAAGCCTTGTGTTAATCTCTTTGTGGCTTTGAAAGAGAGAGAGAGAAAAAAAAGATTAAGCTTCCTTGCGGAGATCATGTGATGACTTCCCGATCCCAGCCAGAGGCAGCATTTCCATGGAAACTTCTCTTCCTCTTCACCCACACACTGCTCCATATACTGCAAAGCCTCCTCTAGTTCTCAAAAAAAGTTGTATGGAGTAGCCTTGACTTTTTCTTTTTTTTTTTTTTTTTTTAAATAATGAGACAAACTCCAGCAAAAAGAGAAAAAAGCAGAGCAGGCTGACACTCTAGCACCATCAAAATAATGATGGCTTTTCCTAGAACCCTTCAGCTAAGGGCCCAAACACTGACGATCTCCTCAAAGCTTCCACTTTCTTTCCCTTTTTCATTAATTTCAGGGGACCACTCAGTATGGAGGAGGACAAATAAGAAAGCTTCAGATGGGCAACATTGATTTGACTATTCTCATTTTGTCATTCTTCAGCTCACAAAAGGCTCACCTTAGTTCAAAGCACGAAGTCTTTAAGCTCCTCCATGGATTGGGCCCAGGTTTAATATTCTACGATGTGTGGAGGCTTATTTGAGTTTAATGCTCCAACTCAACAGATGAAACACAACTCCCACCTCCACGTATTTCCCCTGCCTCAGGTATTGAATCTATTCTCAATTGTTTGTCCAACTCATGCCCACTCTTTGAGGAAGTAATAAAGGGCATTCCCTTGATAACACTTGCATATGATTATCCTAAGTTATGCAATTCTTTCTAATATCATCAGCCTGCAAATACTTCTCTTCTATTAAAAGTTTGATTTACTTATTATCTATACTATTCAATGGAAAATAACATAAATAGTCAATTTGTATTTTTAGCTCACTGCACACACAAAGAAGAAACTTCTGAAATAATTGACATGATCAAAATATATTTGTTGAAAAAATCTTTTTCATTCACTAATTGAGAATGTCTTTGCACAAAACACATTGCAAAAACATTTTCAAATAAATTCCTAATTTCTAGAATTTGTATGTAAAACAACATGGCTATAGCATTGGAGAGAGAGAGAGACACACACAGAGAAAAGGAGAGAGAGAAAAAGAAAGAGCTCTTTGCCGTGGGATAGCCCCGCAATGAAGATCACCTAGCTATCAAAGTCAGCTATTCTTAGGACTTGTCAGAAAATGCAACAGGATTATCAGGGAAAATAAGTAAACTGAAATTCAATAATATATAACCAAGTATCTCTGGACTCTGAAGACAATCTCTCTCTGCAAACTGAGTTCTTGAAATGTTGTAGCCTGTTCATGGTCTCTGAGAAATAACAACCTTAAACCCATAATCTCTAATACTTCCTAAACTTTCGTAATAAGAGAAGTGCTATTCCTGATAACACCTCTCATTTGCAAGTTCAAATCATCATTAATCTTGTAGTCTGTTAGCTGGGTGTGTTTACATCGGGCATTGTTATTATAGTTAACCTTATTGTTAATCTTCTAACCATAAAAATTAAACTATTAATGGTGAATAGAGCTTTTCACCTTAGCATAGGCCTATCCCACTGGCGGGATATGTGCCAATTCCCAAGAAAAGTCAGTCATGTGCTTTTCAGAGGATGAAAGCTTAAGATAAAGACTGAAAGTGTTTGATGCTGGAGGTGGGAGTGGTATTATATAGGTCTCAGCCAAGACATGTGATAGCCACTGTAGGAGTAGCTGCAAAGAGAAGTCTGTGACTCCAATTAATCAGTTCCAGCAGACCTTGTGAAGCCTACAGGAATAATGCTTCTGGCTGTCTTGTGCTGCCTGCTGTGGAGTTTTCAGACCTCCGCTGGCCATTTCCCTCGAGCCTGTGTCTCCTCTAAGAACCTGATGGAGAAGGAATGCTGCCCACCGTGGAGTGGCGACGGGAGTCCCTGTGGCCAGCTTTCAGGCAGAGGTTCCTGTCAGAATATCCTTCTGTCCAATGCACCACTTGGGCCTCAATTTCCCTTCACAGGAGTGGATGACCGGGAGTCATGGCCTTCTATCTTTTATAATAGGACCTGCCAGTGCTCTGGCAACTTCATGGGATTCAACTGTGGAAGCTGCAAGTTTGGTTTTTGGGGACCAAACTGCACAGAGAGACGACTCTTGGTGAGAAGAAGTATCTTTGATTTGAGTGTTCCAGAGAAGGACAAATTTTTGGCCTACCTCACTTTAGCAAAGCATACTATCAGCTCAGACTATGTCATCCCCACAGGCACCTATGGCCAAATGAAAAATGGATCAGCACCCATGTTCAGTGACATCAACATTTATGACCTCTTTGTCTGGATACATTATTATGTGTCAATGGATGCACTGCTTGGGGGATCTAAAATCTGGAAAGACATTGATTTTGCCCATGAAGCACCAGGTTTTCTGCCTTGGCATAGACTCTTCTTGTTGCGGTGGGAACAAGAAATCCAGAAGATAACAGGAGACGAAAACTTCACTATTCCATATTGGGACTGGCGCGATGCAGAGAAGTGTGACATTTGCACAGATGAGTACATGGGAGCTCAGCACCCAGCAAATCCTAACCTACTCAGTCCAGCATCATTCTTCTCCTCTTGGCAGGTAAGGTGTGCCTTCTTCAGGCAAGGTATAGAAATGATGCCCTGTTAAGAACTCTCAGTGTACCTTGTATTTTTACTTTATAGCACACTTTAGGTATTTGTGTGATTAGTTGTCTAATGTCTTCTACTAGGTTCCTAAACTGCAATGAACAGGGTACTTGATTCATTATTGCATTTCCCAGAACACAGTTTGGTGCCTTTAAAAATGACAATAGCTCATTATGTATTTTGTGAATTGAATCAATGAATGAATGAATGCATATTTGGATGATTAAATGATATAAGCTAATGTTTCTGAATTATAAAATTATTACTCACAATAGAATTCATATGGTATACAAATTAAAAATGCAAATTCCTGGCCCTATCCTAGACTCATTTGTCAGCATCTTCAAGAGAGGGTCCTGGGAAGGCAGAATTTACTAAATGTCTATGGTGATTCATCAGGATAAACAAATTATTGGATTAGATCTTTATTTTTTAAAGCATGAAGATCCTGAGGCTTAATCAGGTAAATAATGAGGATGGCTAATATTCATTGAACATCTAGCATGTGTGAGCCCTGTTGCAAGTGTTTTTGTGCATTCATTCATTAATGCTCATCAGTCTTTCCCCATTTTAGCGGTTGTAAAGGTTGATACTTTTTAACTTGCATAAGATTATACAGGTAATAAGCAGCAAAAAATCATATTTATTCTCCAATAGTCTGGCTATTGGAGAATAGTCCAATAGTCTGGCCACTGTAACGTATTTTCAAGGATTTGACAGCTGTGATCTCTTTAGCTAAATGATTCGTCTCCTTCTGTCTTTTTCCTTAGCCTGCAGAAGCAGCTTTCTTTCTCAGTCCTTGAAAACTTTAGATACAACATGAAAGATTACTATTTTGAAATTAAATTCCTATTTCATCTATTCTGAATTTTTCATTCTGAATTAGAAGCAAAGGGAAGACAAAGAAATAAGTGTTTAATTATTTATCTTCTTAAAACCATATGTGAAATGAATGCTTTTCTGCCTGGCTTCCAAAAATTTCTAATGCAGTACTTTGACTAGCAATGTTCTATGAAATTAAGCCCAATATGTGAAAGGGATGGGAAGAATCTTGCACTCAATTTCTGACAATCTGCAGTTTTGAAATGTAAATGGCCTTCTCTGCCCAGCCAGGTTTGTACTCCATCCCAGTGGAGTCTATTGAAATTTATTTGAAAAAGGCCACTGTATAATTTCTGGTGTTATTAGTCAGTTGCTTACCAAAAGTAATGAGTTTTGCGCAGGAAAGGCTAGAAAAAAAATGTGCTTGGAAAAAAATATATTTCAATAAGCTTTCAGAACTCCTACCTTAAAGTGCAAACTCTCATCTAGCTCTTATATCCTCTGTTCTTGTTTAAAAAACTGCCAGGATTGCACATGGGATCTTCAGTCAGTTGTAAAGCTTTCTTTAACTACATGGCTTCACTTGCCCGGAAAGGTTGGAGGACTGTGAAAATTATGAAAATGAGCTGCAACATCCACAAGAAAGCTTAATAGATAGATACACATTGATTTTTAATTACCTGAGATGTGTAATACCAGATGCTATCCAGAACTAGATGAGTATCATTTTTCCAAATTACTTATTAATTATTGAGTGGAACTTGTTTCCTTTCTTTCCCTCTTCATGAATGTGTTCAATTGTAATACTGTCTGGCAAAAAACAAACAAACAAACAAAGCAAGACCAAAAAAAAAAATTTTATCTCTAATAGGTAAGCCCTGAACTGAAATTTTACAATTCTTAACTTCAACCTTGTTCTATGATTAAAGTGCTGTGTAGGAACAGGTTTCGAAAAAAAAATTAGAAACCAGAGTGGACGGAAGATGACCGAAGAGGAACAAGCAAACCACAGTGCAACTGAGAAAGGTGAAATGAATGAACATCTGCTGCTCATCTACTGTGTTTTAGTAGGGTCAAGGGGTTATCAGTGACAGAGGTTGACAGTCAAACCCAACTCACACTGACTACTTCCATTCCTTTGCACAGCCTTGCTGGTTACAAAGTCCTTTTAAAAAGTTATGATCAATTGCTTACATTGATTTAATTCAGAGTTCCCAATGTCAAAATCACCTAGGAAGCTTCCAAAAAAAACCTTGATTTTTTTTTTTTAAATGTTGCAAGTGTTTCACGCACCTAATTTCTTGCTAGAAATTCAGATTCAAGTGGTCTTCTGTGAAGTTGTAAAGTCCAGGTATCTGTATTTTTTTGTTTGTTTTTTGAGATGGAGTCTCGCTCTGACACCCAGGATGGAGTGCAGTGGCATGATCTTGGCACACTGCAACCTCCGTCTCCCAGGTACAAGCAATTCTTCTGCCTCAGTCTCCCTAGTAGCTGGGACTACAGGGGCCCACCACCACACCTGGCTAATTTTTTGTACTTTTAGTAGAGATGGAGTTTTACCCTGCTGGCCAGGCTGGTCTCGAACTCCTGACCTCAAGTGATCTGCCTGCCTTGGCCTCCCAAAATGCTGGGATTACAGGCCTGAGCCACCTCCCCGGGCCTTTAAGTGTCTGCATTTTTAAAACCTCATTTTGTGACTCTAATGTGTAGCCAGCACTGAGAATCTTTGAGTTAATGAATATGGAGATTGTTTTGGTATCTCTTTACTTTCACTTTCCAAAAATACAGGTTTTATAATAAACACATCATTAATTTGAATGCCTTTGCCCAAATTGATTAAATTAAGAAATAGACTATTTTGTGTGAGATGAGATCAGATAGTTTCTAGATTGAGTTAATTAAGACCTTCCAAATTAGCTAGACCGATGCCCCTTTCACATAAAGCCTTCTTTTTTTTTTATTGGTTTCAGGTATCTTTTTACTTGGCCCCAAAACTGAGATTTTAGAGATTTGATAGCATTTACTAACTCTGAGCTGAGAGATCTGCAATGATATCTAGGGTAGCCTGTGCATTTTTTTTGAAAACTACAGAAGAGTCTAAAACGGTAAGATGATTGTCCAAAGTCACACATCTGAGGACTAAAACCAATTGGTTCTGACTGCTGTGCTTTTTAAGTCAGCCATGTTATTTCTTATTTATAAGGATCCATTTAGGTTCAGAAGGGGTCAAATAACCCAATAATCTCTGAATGTATAATTTGACATATAATCACTTTGATTCCCTTAAAATTCTCCTGTCCCAGACAAAATGGGCAGACAGAGTGATGGAGTCCTTTTAATTTATATCATAATGAAAATATCCTGAGACTTTTACTGACCCGCCTCTATTACTCAGGTAGAATTGACCCCCTCCCCTTTGTGCTTTCGTTATAGCAGGGCTTTCATTATAGTTTTGTACCGATTTATATCACAGCACCTGTAACTTGTCATTACATGTAATGGTTTTCAACCCTGTCTGTATCTACCAGCCTGTCAGCTGCTCCAAGGTAGTGATCATTTCTAAATATTACTGTATCCACAGAGCTCAGGGCCATAATATACACATGGAACAGGCTTTACAAATAAATGCTGAATTTAATAAAATTTAACATCAAAGAAACATTAGCTCCAACACTAACATAGATAAAATATTAAACTCTGCATGGGTAGATTGCTAAGACCGTTAACTGCAGTTTTTTTATAACACTGGATTCCAAGTGCCAAGGATACAAAAATAGCAGTATCAGCCATTTACCCAAATTTGTATATCACATATTTTGTATATTTCTCTCTGGTAGTTCCATATGTATGTCTGTGTGTGCATACAAAGAAAGACAGAATACCAGAAAGAAGAGGAACCAAGTTGCAACATAGCTGAGGGTAATTTAAATGAGGTTAATCATATTTATTGGTCAGAGTTTTCTATTAATATATTAAAATCAGGTAATTAATTAAATTTTTTGGAAAGCCTATGTTCTTAATTCATGTCTGTTGATTGTTTGCTCATTTATTCATTTAACACCCCAACATTTTAAAGTAGAGGCCATGTTTGTCATCAATTATAATAGTTGATTGTATCTGGAGGTGGAGCTTTGCTTAATAACATTTAAGTACAAACTACCTGTGCTCAGCATAATTAGATCTAATGTGATGCAATCAACAGATAAGCTAGGCATAAAAATAAAAAGGGTATCAGGAATAGGTGTCATGATGAACTGAAACAGAGAGGAAAAACATTTCCTAGCTGATAGACATGAGCAAACTGTGACCAGGGAATTCACTCATCAGGTGAAAAGCACATCACATGGAAGCAAACAGTTGGAAGAAAAAAAGTCACATTTCAGCAGAGAGTCATGGGTTTTAGGTAACCATGACAACAGCTCAGTGAAATAACAGCTTCTCTTTTTTCTTTATGAAAAAGATTTTGTGGAATGTCATATGGTTTACATTTTTTTCCCAGATAAACCTCTAATGCTATAACAAAATCTTTGCTCCCAAAAGCTTTTAATAGCTGGCAGTTTAGTGTTATTTCTCTGAATTTAAGAGAGCAGTATTTAGGTTCACCTTCCTCATTAATGTATCTGTTATCTGTTTCTTCTTTGTATCGCCTCTCTTTTCCTGTGACTTAAGACACTTGATTGTCCCCCCCAACACTCAGCTTATGTTATAAGCCACTTGTGTTGAAATAGAAAAAGAACACAGTCATCATCAGAACATCCAGGCTCAAATTCTACCCCTGCCATTTAGTAGATGACATTGGACCAGTTATTTAAAATCTTTGACCTTTGTTTCTTCCCAAGAGAAAAAAAAGTGAGGTTGAATTACCATAAATGCTTTGTGTGTGTGCATGCATGTGTGTGTGTGTGCATGTGTGTGTGTGTGTGTGTGTGTGCAAGAGGATTAAATGGAATGAAAAACAGAATGTAGTAATAAATTTGAGTGAACTTTCATACTTACTTAGCTATAAGACCCTAAGCAAGTTACTTAATTACTCTGAGACCATTTTTGTCCCTAAAGTTAGAGTAATATAAAGCATTACTGTGAAGGAATTCAATAAAATGTGTTTGTATGGCTTGTTTAGGATATTGCATA